AATAAACCCTATTTTCATTATCACATGTGAATAACATCAGCCATGCAGATATTTTTTATACTTATGTGTTATAACATTAACTAATTAACAATTTAATTTGGTATAATAGGTGTTCCCTTCTCTTAAGATAATGAAGCCATTTTGGCAAAAAATATAACAAATTCGATGAATGAAAAATATATTGGTAGAACAAGCTTTTGTAAACGTCTTATTCTTCTGAAGCTTCATATATGCTGAAAGTATATTTAATTCTCCCATGAAACTACACTAGGAACAGACTAAGTTCTCTGTGTAAAATAATAGAGAAAATTAGATTCATGCTTTGCATGTGCATATAAGGGCAGATAAAATCAAATCATGCATGCACCATGATGAATAACTGGATATCTGTTTATAATTATTGATCAGCCGGTTATAACCGATAATCGATTTTAAAATTCCAGCCAATTCCCATCGCTAGCTGTAATTTAGACATGGGATCATGTACAACACGTGCAGTCGCCAACCAGTGAACAGCTAATTAATTCCTACGTGTGTGCTGAAAGAATCTGCTAAAGTGCAACTCGGCAGAATTTCCTCTCTATGAAAAACCGCTCGCTTCTTTAGACACAATAGTGGAAACCGCTGTAGTAAAACCGACAATCTGCTGGTTGATCAGTGTTTTTAGCTTCGGGGTTTGATGGCTAGATTCATGGCCCGTGGGTGATTTTCTTACCCTTTGCTTGTCTGTTCCTTCAATATATGGCTGTTCCTGCTATATAAGGGCATTCATGACTTTGCATTGAAATTCAAATAATCGCGTTTTTGCAGAATTTGTAAAATGATATATCACTGTTATTCACTGACGCTAACACACCATTCTGATAGTTTTACCTTTGGTCTGCTACTGTGCAACTGGAAATTACAAACAAATATAAGGAGATTACAAACTCAATCAAGATTATTACACATTGTTATCCTCTCATACTTATACTTAACAGATGCAGTTTGCTGTATTCATGAGTAATGTATTTATGAACGTGATATTCCATAAATTTTGTGTAATTGGCATATGAAGAACATGGCACACAGAAGAATCATGTAAAAAGTAAATGAACATTTGACTTCAGAATTGTACTTTTGTGGCTAACTCTGCCCATGTAGCCCTTCGCTCCGCCACAGACCTGCTGCGCCACAACAGGCGTGTGTGGTGGAGCGAAGGGCTACACAGGTCCAGTTATTTTGCTATATGCTAATTACATGCATTTTTTTTTCTTCAGCTTGGCATAAATTCATGATGTCCAGCTGTAGGTCCACGCATGGACACTGATAAAGTGTGAAGCTTACCACCTCCCCAATGTACGTCTATAACGATATTTGAATTAGATTGTTGCATTTGAAGCAATGTATTTATTTTGATTTGTTTATAAAACAATTCACGTTCATTTGATGAAGACATACATCTTACAGCATTTTTAGCTCATCTGACGTAGTCAGGTGCAGCTTGTAGAATGGCATGATTGTCTGTGTGTGCGTGCGTGCGTGCGTGCGTGCGTGCGTGCGTCAACAGTTGGGCACAAATCTTACTGGCTCGACGTACGGATTAGAAAGTCGGGACGTAGGGGGGTAATCCGAAAACGAGTTGGGATGTCG